GTGCCCCTTAAACATGGACTTTTTGGACTTCTACTAGAACTCTTTGCTATTTAGTTTTCACGTGTATTAATAATATTGTGTTAGTCTGTTTGGGCTACTGTAACAAGAATACTATGCGCTGGGTTTTTAAACAGCAAACATTTATTTCTCACAGCTCTGGAGGCTGAGAAGTCGAACATCAAGATTTGGTGTCTGACAAGGGCCCTCTTCCTGGTTCATACACAGCCATATCCTGTGTCCTCATGTGGCAGAAGGGGTGAGGCAGGTTTCTGAGGTCTCATTTATAAGGACACTAATTACCATTCCTGAGGAATCCACACTCAAAATCTAATTGCATCCCACAGGTCCTACCTCCTCATAGCATCACCTTGGGGGTCAGGATTTGAACGTAAGAATTTTGGTGGTGGGGTGCGGGGGGCATTTCAAATATGAAATGCGAAACAAACACTAATCTTACATATTTCAAAATGCATATTAAAGATGTATGTGTAAAACTCTTTGTAGTTAGCTCTCAATATAAAGAAGTTTCCTTATTATGTAGGTGAGAGGATTATGGAAAAGCTTATAAAGAAGGCGATAGTCTCTAAAAGATTTCACTGAGAGGAATGACAAAGTTATGTAAGAAATAAATAAAATTTTTGAATCATCTAAGAAGGAGCAGGAGGTGATATATATCTACACACACACATATATATATATTTATACACTAAAAGAGAGATGGTGTGTGGGATGTTGATCATGGAAGGCCTTCAATGTTAGCCTTACCATTTTGGGCTCCTTAGATCAGAGATTGGCAAACAACGGCCTGCCTGTTTTAGCCCAGCCCATGAGCTAAAGATGGTTTTATATTTTTAAATGATTGGAAAAAACTCAAAATAAGAAGAATGTATTATGATACATGAAAGCTATATAGAATTTAAAATCTGAGTTACGTATCAAAAAATTATTACTTGTAAACAATCATATTCATTCATTTTCATGTGGCAGAGAATGTATGCCCTACAAAGACTGATATTCACTGATATTTACACTTTACAAAATAGTTTGCAGACTCTTGCCTTGCACAGAATTCTTTTTAATCCTAATTTAATTTTCCTTGACAATGTACTTTTGTAGTGTGGAAACGAATACACCAAAAAAGCTGCTTGTTTATTTCAATGTCTCTTACACAGATGTCATGTGATATATAAAAGAGTAATGTACTAGGGTTCCAAGAATGAGTATGAATTCACTAGCCTGTGTCTGTTTGTTTCATATTTGATTCTAGGTTCCTATTAATCTTACTTTGTCCTTGATGTGTGGTCTATAGTGTGAACAGTGTTTTGATTAAATTTCCCATTATGTAATTATCCACTTATATGTATGATATGGTTTGGCTGTGTCCCCACCCATATCTCATCTTGGACTGTAGCTCCCATGATTCCCATGCATTGTGGGAAGGAACGAGTGGGAGATAATTGAATCATGGGGATGGTTTTCCCCCATCCTGCCCATGTGGTAGTGAATAAGTCTCATGAGAGCTGATGGTTTTATAAAGGGGAGTTTCCCTGCACAAGCTCTTCTTTTGTCTGCCACCATGTGAGATGTGCCTTTCACCTCCTGTGATAGTTGTGAGACCTCCCAGCCACATGGAACTTTGAGTCCATTAAACTTCTAACTTTTGTAAATTGCCCCAGCTCAGGTATGGTATGTCTTTATCAGCAGTGAGAAAGCGAACTAATACAATATACTTTCAAATATTGAGATAATTTATTTAGAAATTGTTTTTGTTATTTTATATTTCCTTCTTTGGTGTCTTTTCTCAATTGTTATTTTTCAATTATAATATTAATAGAGAAATCTAATAGTTATGGACTGTATTACTTATGTAGAAATTAATAATGAGAAATCAAATAAAAATTAAAATTTTACTGCAAAAACATCTTCAAATGCTTAAAAGTCTTATTCATCACACTACTCTTCTCTCTGAAAACTAAATCTCAGCATATTCTTATATGTTCTAAAAATAATTTTGTGAAGCAATTCCTTTTGTCTGTAATCTTGATTCATAGACTTTCATATGAATTCTTTTATTGCTTTATTTTCATAATAGCTTTTAGGCAACCAATCATCATGCATAATACACTGTTTCTTCATGACTTTTTAGCATCCAGATGTCTATACCTCATGTTGCTGCCTTTTAGACACATTAAAAAAAAAACAACTTACTATAAAAATTGCATTCATTTCTGCAGTAAATTTTAAATTGTTCTTTCATAAGGGAGACAAACTTTTACTTGAATACAGAAATACTTGGTATGCCTTCTGCTAATGTGAAAACATGAATGGATAACTTAAAGGTTGTGGTTTTGCATTGATTTGAAAGGAGCTGACAAATGGGATTTCTAAGCATAATTTTTTACATGTAGACACATCATATTTGGATATAAGGTTTCTCTTATCATAAGTAATTTTTGTAAAGAATATAAGAACAAACAGAGATTATTATCCAAACTATTTACAAGTACATTTTGGCATCTCAGTAAATGCTTTTAGGTAAATGAGAATGCTTCTTAGAGTTTCCCCAAAATAAAGGTTGGAATTTATATATAGGCCCAGGAAAATTTTAATGACTAGGTCAGGTTTCTTAGGAGAAGATTTACATCAGAATCACCTAATAAGCCTTCTAAAAATATATCTGCCTGTGCCTCATCCTGCACCTGCTGAATCAAATTCCCTTGGAAGGGGCCACACATATTTTAGAAGGGTCTCTGGTAGGTTCTGATTCTCACCGTTGTTTGACTATCACTTGACAAGACAAACTCTGAGATAATAAAAAAAAAACAAAAAGAATTAGCCTCATAAAAATATTCCTGAGTTTGTTTCTACAATGTTGTTATGGAAGTATTTTCCATGTGCCCCAACATTTTTATATAAAACCTCATATAAGAATTAAAATGTTTTTGTTCTGGAGCAATTCTATAAAGTGTTTTTGTGCTCAAGAAAAAATGCTATACCTGACTGTATTTCTTACCTTATCTCTCACTTTGACCTGCAGGATTCTTTTTTTTTTTTTTTTTTTGAGACGGAGTTCCGCTCTTGTTACCCAGGCTGGAGTGCGATGGTGCTATCTCGGCTCACTGCAACCTCTGCCTCCTGGGTTCAAGCAATTCTCCTGCCTCAGCCTCCTGAGTAGCTGGGACTACAGGTGTGGGCCACCATGCCCAGCTAATTTTTGTATTTTTAGTAGAGATGGGGTTTCACCATGTTGGCCAGGATGGGCTGGATCTCTTGACCTTGTGATCCACCCGCCTTGGACTCCCAAAGTGCTGGGATTACAAGGATTCTTTTAGTCAGATGTATAGTTCAATTTTCAGCCTCTTGTACACTGAATATCTGTGTTGTAATTTTTGTTGTTGTGTTAATTCAAGAAGAGGAGGCTCAAGAATTTATTGAGACTTCCCTGTGTATCAAAAGCATTTTAGGTACTGAGAATAATAGTGATGAACAGAATTGTCTGGGCTTAAAATTCTAGTGGCTGAGACAGATGTTAAATAAGCATTTTTGTAAGTAAGTACTCTCTGGTCCAGATATCATAAGCCTATTTTGTGTATTGATATATATATATATATTTTTTTCTTTTTCTTATTCAGAGATAAGCCATGGGATCTCTTTATATAATATTTATGTGCAAACATATATATACATATGTAATGTGTATACATATATTTTTATATGTAATGTATATACATATATATGTGTTATATTGTATGTAGCACAGTCTATATGCACTATACACAGTTTGGGATATATGATATACAGTACAGTATGTGTGTATATAGCCTATTTTATATTTATATAACTATATTGTTTCATTTATTTTGGTTGTCACATCATTTGAGGGACAAATTGGAATAGATGCATGCCTGCCCAAACATATAGTGAATGAATTTGAATTACAATTCTCAGTATTACACATTAGCTCACATTTGATAATGCTTTATTTTTAAATACTGACAACTAAGTAAAGTATGTGTTATATTTTGCAGTATTTCTGTAAAGTTCTTTACTATTTTTAAAGCTTTTTGTTTTACATCCTTAAATGTAAAAAGGATTTGAGGACAGTTTTGCAAAGGAGAGATTGAAATTGAAAGTCATAAAAAGCTGTTCGTTTCTCTATCCATTGAAAAGAAGCATGTTATTGTCACAAACAACTTCTGCATGTTATGTATTTGATTTTTATTTTTCAAAGATGGTGCTTTACTAGTACAACTCGTTTAATTTTCTTTACAATGTTTTTTAGCTCCAATGAGGTTTGAGTTGGTAACTAATTTTTTAGGAAAATTGTACCACGTAAATCCTTTTGGAAAACTAGAAACAGCCTGTAGATTCTAAGATGTAACTGTTAGCCTCCTAAAATAAAGAGAGATCTAGTCTATTTTGATGGAGGAATAGTGAAGGCAAACGTGATGGGTGCTTCATGGAGAAGAATTGTCCATGTTTGCACACTGAACAACCTTAGGATGGCACACTTGACCCTGCAGCCACATTTTGAGTCCTCTGGAAATTCAGAATCCTAATGCAGTCCCCCAAATCACTGACCTTTTAAATGAGAAATTCAATGGAAAGTAATGTTTTTCTTCATTTTTAAAGTGCACCCTGGGTAGTATAGTTAAATTACATGGTTGAAGAACGTTACATACAAAGTCCCTGTTGGAAAAAAAAAAAATTACATTTGACCAGTCTTTTTTTCAAATAGTGTTCCAAAGACCTGCATCTGTCTGTTCATGTGGCATATAACAGAAGAGTGTATGAAGTGATTCAAAAGCACTAACCATTGTTTGTGAGCCAGGAAAGCAGCAAGAATTTTGATTGACATTGTTATTTATTATTTTCGAATGCTGACGGTGAATTTACATGGCAGAGTCTTTCCTATGCTTATTGACATTTACAAATGAAAAGGCTCTGCTTTGCTGACTATTTAGCTGGTAATTTAATTTTCCTAATGACTTTCTTTACAGGAGCTGGATTTTGAAGCCAAAACAAGTTATACACTACGGATAGAAGCTGCAAATAAAGATGCCGACCCTCGCTTTCTAAGCTTGGGTCCATTCAGTGACACGACAACCGTGAAGATAATTGTGGAAGATGTGGATGAGCCCCCGGTATTCTCTTCACCTTTGTACCCTATGGAGGTGTCAGAAGCTACCCAGGTTGGAAATATCATTGGCACTGTAGCAGCTCATGACCCAGATTCTTCCAATAGCCCTGTGAGGTAAAAATTCATTGCTCTCCTTTTCTATGGTTTTTATAAAAATGTATCCTTATTTACAACTCTTGTTTATGTTATGGTGCTTCTTTGTTCATAACAAATAAAAATCCATTATATATAATATATATTACAAGTTCGAGTATGAACAATCAACCACAGCATATATATACACACACACACACACACTCAAGTTTTAACAGCAGAGGTGAAACAGAATTAGAATCATACATTTTACCAAACTCAAAAATGTCATCTGATTATCAAGGCCATTATCATTTTGTCATATTTTTAGACATCCATTATTATCCACAAGCCATAGCTGATGTTCCTATTCTACCAACTATCCTGAATCTCTTTCAAAGCAAAGCATGTTCAAAAATGAAGTGATACATGTTTTAGTTGTAGGATAAATGTGTCTATTAGAAAAATAATTGTACCCGCAATTCAAATTAGGGGCTAATTTGTAAAATTGTTGTTTTAATATTGGTCTACTTGAACAGTATGTGTTTGTTCAGTTTAATATTTCTACTTAAAAAATTAAAAAAAACCTTATCTACATATAAAGACTATTAAAAATATCCTTGCAGTAGTCTTGTATCTAGGCTAGACACTGTTATAGCCAAATAATGTATTTAAGACCGACACAATGGTGATATATCAGCATTTCAAAATATGTCAACGTTACATCTTGCGCTTTTTAGCTATAATTTATAATCTGAGATCTATGTGATTTTGTGTATATGCTTGTGTTTTTGTGTTTGAGACTTTTTTTTGAGTTAGCATTATAAATAGAATGTCATATTATAGTTCTTATTTGGGCTTGTAAGCAAAATACTTCACTTTTCAGTGTGAAAGTTTGATTTTGATTACAAAGACTATTAAGTAAAACAAAATGAAAACACAATGATTGTTTTATATTGAGATATGTTTAATTATAAGCTATCCAAAGACTTTTAGATTTAAATAATATTCAACAATGGTAAGAGTTTTTGAGCTAAGTCTGCGCGTTGGCTATAAATTGTCATGAAGAGTTATCTATAACAACATTTCTGGGTTAAAAATAGCTCATAATGTTGTTTCTTTCTAAAGTAATAAAGTGATTATGTGCATGTATACATACACATATATATATATTTTAAAGTAGTATATATATATACTTAGATAATTAGTACCCTCCTTTCCTTTTCTTTGCCTGACATTAATAGAACCTAGTAAAGGATTGGTATAGAATAATAGTTATTTAAAAAATAAAATTATACATATTATATCTTTATACAGCAAATGCAGAATGTATTGATGACTGTACTATTATTAATGTGGTGATAATAGACCATTTCTAAGAATATAATCTGTGCACAAGAATATTTATGAATCACAAATGTAGCAGATAGAATAAGCCTTCTACTCTTCTCTGTAACTGCCCTGCCTTTATTGCCAAAAAAACTTCCTAACCACGGTTCAGCCCCACATACCAAGTCATATTAATTTGGGCAAACATGAGTTTGAGGTTTTTTATAGCATTCCGTCTCTTAATGAAACTTTTGAGTCTCTTGTCCTCATGAACAATCAACCACAGCATAATTATTGGCATAGATTAGCTATTTAGGACAATTTGGTTTTTGCTTGAATCATTTAATTTAATGGAGAGAGAGAGACATGCTTTCTAAAGTTAGAGATATGGAGAAAGACGTTAAGATGGAGCCAGGTGTGGTGACAAATGCCTGTAATTCTGGCTACTTGGAAGGCTGAAACAGGCAGATCACTTGAGACCAGGAGTTGTAGACTGCAGTGAACTACAATTGCACTTGTAAATAACCATGGCATTTTAGCCTGGACAACATAGTGAGATCCCAGTCTCTAAAATAAATAAATGAATAAGTAAAATGAAAGGATTTAAGGATATTTTCATTGATTGCATTGATACTTTTATCCTGTTCATATTTTTCTATTACCCACTCCCTTGTCATTCTGTTGAAGACTTTCATAGAAAATATTTCACTTTTTATAATATTTTCTTTGAAGAAATGTCAATATTATTATATAATAATTTGAGGAAGAAGAAGGAAGAGTAGGCCCAAGTAGGTAGTGACTTGAGAAAGAGTGAGTAGTGACTAGAGAGATGAAGTGAGCTCTAGGTCTGTTCTCTGAAGCACAGTGGTCAAAGGCTGAACTTTGGGTTTTGGAAGTAAAGATCTCTGTGGTCTTTATCAGCGAAAGAGTACCTAGCCAACGAAAAAAAAAAAAAAAAAAAAAAAAAAGGGACAAAGAATGTCTATATACACACACACATATACATATATTCATTATATTTTACCCTCACTTTCATTTCCTTAAAAGTAATGAAGGTGACTTGAAAGTTCAGGTTAGTATTAGCTTACCTCTTTATCTCATAAATAGAGAAATAGACATTCTTTGTCCCCAGTGAATTAAAATTTTATTTTGTATATATGAATATTCCTTATGCTTTTGTAGAATTTCTTGACTCACGTCTAATACTTACATACTTGAAAGGTTTTTATTTTTTTACAATATATTCGTAAGGTCAGCACAATTATTTATAGCTTTTTTTCTGCATTTGTCTCTCACATACTTCTGTTCCGCTATCCATTTACAATACCACTTAAGAGGCGAGTCTCCTTATTTTATAATTTGTTGAGTATGTGTTTGCTCTCATGCATTCTCTGCAAGACTGATTCCCTTCCCAGCACTGCTGTTTGTGGAATGGCCTAGGAGATGTCACCTTGCTTCCTATGTTTTTGTATTAACCAGCAAAAAGGAAAAGTAACTCTGATGCTTTATTCCAGGCTCTTCTGATGATTAAGAGAGAGAAAGTAAATGAAGCTTTTAAACTGTGAATTATGACCTAAATATTACCATGTGTTATCATTATACATTGCTATTATTATAGATTATTGTGTTTTCATGCCATTTTCATTGTGAGATTAATGAAGTCAGGAAAAGAGACTTGGATTTTATATACAACCATACTGGTGATCTATATTGCAGGTTATCTTGTACTCACACATATTCCAATAGATATAAAATATTGAGTAGCTTTCTGATAAATATGAACATGTATTTGCATTAGGCACTCAAATAACTATCAAAATATAAATGCTGTCTCATAATACATGTTTAACATAATAAAACACGTTAATGGATGGATAAATAGCACAGTCTTCTGAGGTACTAGGAAAAGTGAATCTCCAGATTGAGATGGGACATGAGGATTCTTAACAATGTGAGCTTTGTGCTTTTATGCCTTTAGAAATATTGTAGTTCTTTGAGCAATGGAAAAGCATTATTTGTTTTGTTGTAATTGTTTAAAATTAAACCAATAGGATTTGACTTGTAAAACAGCGTGGCCAATGGGAATTAGTTTTAAATTTATTGACATTCTTTGTTGTAGAATACTGAGATCTAGCATATGCCATTTATGTTCATAGTATTTTCTGATATACGAGGCAGTAAATTAGAACTCTAGAAAAATATATATTTAGTTACTCCCAGCAAGGTAAAGTTGATACTGTTTTCCTACATGATCCCTGCCTTGCACAACATTTTTAAATTTCTACCTACATTACTAAAGTGTCAACCAAAGGTTATGCAAAACTCTTCTCTATGAATCTGCCTTTTCCTTAAAAGAAGACTGAGCGCCTATGCGACTGTGGAAACGTGGTCATTTTGACATTTACAAGTGTAGTTGTCATAGATGGAAAAGTTAAACCCGAAGCCTAGTAATTGGCCAGAACATAACACGATTGTGAATGTTAGGTCTTTTTTATACTTCACCCAACATCCAGATAGCCTACCTAGACCACCATTTCATGTACACTGCACTGTCCTTTTGTGGCGGGGCGGGAGTGTGTGTGGAAATAAAACCATATGTAAGCTAAAATTGCAGTCAAAACCAAGGGTGGAAGTCAGTTGATACTTGAGATATTACTCAGAGGAGGAAAAATTGTTTTGTTTTTGTTTTAAGAAAAATGAGTAATTGAGGGCAAGCATGTTTCTAGCTTGTTACTCTATAAGTAGCTGTTTATCATAGCATGTAAATTTTGGCCCTAACTACTCAATATCAGGCTTTATCTATTGAACTTGGAAGGACAGATTGTGGTCTGCTGGTTCTGGTCATGTTTCTGAATGATGGAAACTTCTGTGTTTCTCATCCAAGTTGGTAAAAGCTGTAAGAACAGCCTAGAGTCTAGAGGATTTGACTCATTTCTCACGTCAGCATTGGCAGACTGATCAATGACTGAACGGGCATTCATTAAAAACCTGTGTTATGCAAGGCACTGGGGGAAGTGCTAATGAGAAAACAAAGGTAAATAAACATTTCCTCTGACCTCAAGGAACTTACAATCTGGATGAAGTAATAAGATCTCATAAAAGTTAAACAATATTGGGAAAAATATGCCAGCACTGTGTTTTGGCAAATTGCGAGATGAATAGTAAGCACTCCAAGTACACTGGCTGTGAGATTTCATTTGAAGGAGTGGCAGTATAAGTAGGACTTCAAGGGATGGCAGGATTTGGACAAGCCAAGAAAATATCATGCAAAGTACATTTATGTTTTATTTAGTTATATCCTAAAAGCCTAGTACCAAATTATAAAATCAGCAAATTCATTTCTGTAGGCATCACAGCAAGCCCCAAGTCCCTGGCTAAAAATGGCCGATGGCTTGAAACATGATGTTATTACAAATAAGATCAGATATGAAGACAGGCAGATAAAAAGGAATAGGCATCACTTTAAGCATTCCTAATAATTTTAATATAGATTTATGTTTATACTTATGTTAAAGGATACTTGGATAATATTTACCTGTGGGCTTTTCAGCATTCCTATTATTATATATCCTCACATAAAAAGTGATAGAATTGTATCAGAAATTACTGTATATAATGTGATGAGTGTGAACGTATTTGGGGTGTTTGAATAATTCAGTGTGTATTTTTTGTGTAGCTTGTATGCATGCATGTATGTGCACATATGAAATCTA